CAGTGATCAAAAAGCTAGTATTGATGCCATGCAACAGTATATAATTGCCTTAGTCTATATCAGGAATTTTCTCATAACTTTATCTATGACTCGGCGTGACCAGTGGCTTGGAATATACCATTTTAATGGGTATGCACTGCGACGAAGAAATGCACAATAAGGCCCTGTTAGAAGACCAGTATCACATGCGATATATATTAACATAATATAAATATGATTTAGGCCCCATTGAGATTGCGCAACTTTACATATTGCCTCATTCATGAGCCTTATTTAAATCTCATCCATAGAGATAGGTGGGAGAGAAGCCCATTGGTACGTACCTTCAGTTGTGCTTGTGTATAGTCACGCAACGATCGTTTCAGTCGCCAGTAACAGTAGTAGGGCGGGGCCTCGATGACAGCAGTGATCACTGATAGGCGGAGCAAGCTTGGCCGTCACTTATCGCGAACAAAATAGCGCGATCACAAGATTGATCCTATTTGCTAACAGGTGTGCATACCGCATGGGATGGTGCGATTGCACAGGATTTGTTCGAGCCGTCGAACTGCACAGCGGCGATGTGCTGGAATCGACAGCGGTAGGTCGGGCCGTCTTTGTGCCTTGGAGGTGGCTATGCCGAGGAGAAGATTCTGAGGACGGACGTATCTTTGAGGTATCAGCCATCGTCCTTAGACTCCGCTTCCACCCTTAAGTTTAAGTGGGATCGGTGACTAGTTTTTCTCACTGCCGGTGAGCGTCGTCGCAGCGCATCCGGTGGATCGATCAGCGGTGTGCGGATGCTTCGGCCTCCATGCATCCGTTGAATCATCGGCACATCGTCTGACAGGAACACGTCAACTGTTTGCCAGTCATGCAGATCAATATCATAACAGCTTCGTTCGCAGCATGGTCATCGTTTTCGCAACAGCTGTATGCCGCGAAAAACTGCTCTGCCGGCGGACGACCAGTAATCGACGAGTTCGAAAGTACCGGCCGACCACAGCGCTGAGGGTTTTTTCATGGATTAGAAATTTCCGTCACTATCATACTGACTATCAACTGTAGAGGAGGCGGTACGTGATGCGCGCGCTGTCCGATTGCCATTAGTGTTCGATATTTGAATGAGTACTTATTGAGCAGCTGTAATTGAAGAATTACTAAAATATTATAGTGATTTATGCATATTTTATGCAGCATCGATATGTAGTCATGTTATATAAACAAATATATGTTATATGTATAATATTGTTCATGTATATGTCTATCATGCAACCCTCTGATCGTGAGGTACGTGGCTCCGGGGAAGTGACACCCATTCGGTTAATTTTAGGCTGACCACCGCGCCGGGTCGTCCTTTATGTTAATCCGTTCATAACACGTGCAAAAATCAGTTTGATGCTAGCCATTAACTTGAAACTCATTTGTTTAGGTGGCAGCATTCTGCCCACGTCCTCACATCGTCCGTCCAGACGACGATCTTTGTTTTGTGTATTCAAGCATGGAGATGACCGCAGAAGGCCCCCTTGAACGCTCTCCGTTCGGCCGTAATCGCGCCATGTCACTGATAGAAAGCGATTCGTCGGAATTGTTCAGCGATGAGCAGGCGATCAAGAATTTCACCTATCTGCCAAAAGACTTCCACTTCGAGTTACCCGCCGATTCGGCCTTTTTTTACAACGACGGAAGCGAGGTAATGGAGGGAAATTTGTTTTTTCTCTTGCGATGAGATGGTTCGTTAATCTGCTTTTCGCCTGCTTTCATGCCCTTCTTATGAGGCGTTTTTTCCTAGAGCGAAACTTGTCATTCAGGACAACGAATGTGTCGTAAGGAGTTTGGCTAAGTTGAGTGGAAACGAGTGATTTTTTGAAAATTTACGGTGCCATCGGTTCGTGAAGAATATCGGTTAAGTGAGATGCGATTGAGATGGCGACAGAATTGGGACATTACGTGCGTTTCAGAGTTTACGAGCGCCCAAAAACGCCCGTCCGCATGCACATCGTTTAGCGCCCAGCCACCATGCGTGCGATTCCTGTTTATCCGGACCAGGATTCGAGTTCTGCAGCGATTCTACAGCTCTACTCGCTCTGGCAAATTCTGGTCCCAAATTCGGCCACCCGCAATTTCGAAAATCGCTGAGCTTTAGGCGCCATCGTTGGATTCACAAATATGCACTTTTCTACCCGTCTGTTCTGTTTTCGATGAGGAATTATTTTTTCCCTCAAGCAAACCCCATTGTTTTGTCTTTGCAACAATTGTCAATAACACTCATCTATTCGTCCGTCGACTTCTTACGTTTTGCTACATGAGGAACTCCATAAAGTAAAATCAATTTACGGTTGATCGACCAAGCGATCACCGTCAAGCGTAAAAAATCAATCTTTTGTTTTAATCAAACGTTCTAAGTTGGATCGTCTGTCCCCTCATTTCAGTGAACTCATATGACCATCTTAATCCCTGTAACTTTTGGATTGCACCTTGTGCTGATTATGACGCGGAACGAGAAGCTACGTTTAATCACTTATCATATACGAAATGATCATATCTTCTCATCTCCGTGAGCTTGATTTCTGGATGCTGTGTGCTACAGGTCACAATCCGCTCCTTCTGACATGTTCATTTGTTTAGTCCAGCATCAAGCTTAGATCACGTTCGTCACGCGAGGGCTTTCAGTTGTCATACGCTTTACTTCCTTTAATACACGCCTGGGGGAGCATAAAATACTTAATGCTTCATAATTTATCGACTTGTTTTCTATTTCTCGGCTATTTGCATCAGAGCGCATTGAGGAAAATGAGTTCCGTGTTTTACAAAAATTAGCAGTTAGCAACTGAAGGGTATAAATTAGATCGATGACCTGATCACCCTATATAGAAACAACCGAAAACGTCAGAAAACTTCTTTCAGTGCTATTCGAGCTCTGTGAACCGCTTCAAAGAGTTGGAGTTTGGGAAATACCGAAGGAAAAACCACCTTAAGCAGTCAAAATGAAGAACGTTTTTTACCTCAGTGTTTGTAGCCATGCGAGGGTGCATGATTCATTTGATCCCCTGTTTAACCTAAGTGTGGAATGATCAGAAAACTGCAAAAACAAATGCGTGTTCGAAATAATTCATGCACGTCACTTGTTTTTAAAGCAGAATAATTGTTACTTATACTTTATACCGTGTATCTGTCAGTCATATCAACCAGATGAAGTCCGAGAAGTTGAACTGATAAGATATCAGGGCAAGGCAACTCATCATTCGCGATTAGGACGGAGCATTGGCCGTAGACGCGTCGGCATCGTCGGTTGTCTGTTGAGACCACCACCTTGAGCTGTTTACATGAGCAAAACTTCTCTGGTTTGTGTTGTTCGTTGTATGCTGCATAATGGGACAAGAAGAACAGTCTACAAAATTGAGGAACAAGTTAGAGGAATATTTGTCTGCAACGTGGTAGCCGATGCCTTGTAGCGAAAATGTTAAAAAGCTGTTGATACAGCGGACGCCACAAACCGCAGACGTTCTGCAAACGGATCAATATGCTGTTTCAGCAAACAACAACAATAATCATGTTGCATAAATAAGACTGTTTTGTCGTAAGGCACTGGTCACTGCATCGCAAAAGGACATGTTCTCCTTCAAAAACAGATCTGCCTCGACATTTATTCCTCCATTTGGCATTCTGACCTACTCGTCGACGTCTGCCATGCTTCAGCTTCCACACAATCTCATGGGCTGGAATAAACTGTGTATGCTCAACCAGTGAGGTTCAACCTCATTTTCTTAATTGTCCCATCTGCTGAAGTCACCTATGTCCGGAACAGAATAGAGTCGTTCTACACGACCTTCACTATGCTTGAAGTCAGCTCTTCTGCATGCAGTTCATTTGTCATTCTTGCTCCTTCATTACGGTAGCTGTTTCCAAGTCTGCCTGAGTGAGGTAAGGCACAGACCATTTTTGTGGTCAGACACGCTCATCTCAGCCCAAATATTGAACAAGCTTCTAAAAGCCCGCAAGACTAAGGCGATAATCTTATTTAACTTCTGCTAAATAACGCTATCACTGGAGCTGATGGAACCGACGAGCTTTACCTTCCTTGTAGATTCGCTGTGTCAGATGGGCTCTGCTGGAGAATAAGCAAAACGCATAAACGCCTGGTTGAGGCGATCCTGACTGAACGTTTTCTAATATCAATCTAAAGTAGTATTGCTAACGGTCACACGTCATAAATTTCGGTTACTGTGCTGTCTAAACTCCGTTAGTCTCAGATGACGATGGTAAAACAACAGCAACTCATTTTCAGTTGTTCAGTCAAGTTTTGCTGTATGTTAGAGTTAATAATTAATTGAGCTACCATTTTTACTGTAGATTATACTCTTAAGGATTCATCTTCGAAACTCCACAGAGTTAGGAAGAATGTTAAGGTAGTGAAATTTTTCGCCACTCGTAAAATTTACACGTTTTCGTAAACGAACAGCTTCCTGATAATTCTTCTCGCTTCCTGGCCTATCACGTGTCATGGTGTATGGAGTACTTTAACCCGTCAATATATGATACGATGTCAGCATACAATGAGCAGTGTCAGTCTGCCGGCGACGTTTGTCATTTATCAGTTTTAAATGAGCAAAGCAGTGTGTTCGACGGATGCGAGGGCTGCATAGAAACTCACACGAAAAACGCCCGCTGTGTTGGCTTAGGACGATGCCTGTTTCTTGTACGTGAAACAAATTATTCTAAAGAATTTTAAGCGAAGTTCTTGAAACCTGTTTACTCTCACACGTCTTCGGAAGCCAAATGCCAGTGGGAGATAGGGTAACGTGACCGGCTAATATTGTGTATAAATACGTAATTACAACATAAATATTTAATTCCGTACTGAGAGTGAAGTTCGTTAAGGTGAAGGGATTTCTCCTCTGCTGCTGAACATCATTACGGACTATGTGACGCGGAACAAAGTCGTTGCAGATAGCAGTGAGGAACTGACCGTCAGTCAGTGATGCACTCAAGATAGCCAGCTGTACTTCGAACGGACCTTCACTGCTCCAATGGCATCTGCATGCTGCTGAGCGATTGCACAATGGGCTACTGGCACTCGTGTGTCGTTCCTTGTTTGACATTGAAGTGATCGTAGACAGTTAAAAAGAGGCTATCGTACCTCGAACGGATTCCTTGAGTCTAGTACCATTCATGTGATTATGCATATCAACCATTGTTTAGCAGTAATGTAAAGACGCTGATTTACTGTAGGCTAGGTTATGTCCCATACTGGTCAATTACCACGCTATGCGGCTACTTTATGAATTAATGACATTTTCAAGGGTATGAGAAGCTAACAACAGTTCTCTATTTTTCATATAGCCTTAGCGTTCAAGCCTTCCGTCCGGTTCTGACACGTCCTAAAGGGGAATAGTTTTTTATTAATAAAAACAGGTTCCTTTTCTATGTTGTAAATGAAGGGTGCTGCAGATGGTATCAATTTTTCTTTTCCTCATTTTCACACCTTTTATTTCATGGTGCAGAAGGCCCATATTGTAGGGGCAGGCAGTGTCGTTAATAGCGCTGACACATC